GAAAAGAAGATTATTTTGAAATTCTTGGGAACAAACTGTCTATTGATTTTTGTAGATTTAGGACCACAAATCATAAGCTCCCTATTGAACAGGGTAGATGGAATAATATAGTTAGAAGTAATAGATTGTGTCTTCTATGTAATAAAAATAACATTGGTGATGAATTTCATTACATATTAGAATGCAAATACTTGGAAGAAAACAGGAAACATTGTATGTCACATTATTATTTTAAAAATGCAAATACTGTTAAATACAAGCAGATTATGTCTTCAAAACACAAATCAGAACTGATTTAAACTTTGTAAATTTATAAAGATTATCAACACAGGTATATGTGCTCCTGGCTAAAATGTACTTCATATATTGTCTGAGCAATAGTTCTGTTTGTTCTGTCTTATTGTAAATATTGTACATAAATGTCTTCTCTATACCTATGTACATGTATATTTTAGCCAATTGAGAAAAAAGAAAAAGTATGAGAAAAAAAGACCAAAACTCAGAAACTTAATTTTGACAACTGAACCATGAAAATGAGGCCAAGGTTAGATGACACCTGCAATCTAGACATGTACACCTTACAATCATTCCATACACCAAATATAGTAGACATCTTGCATACAGTATAAGAAAAACAGACCAAAACACAAAAACATATCTATAACCACTGAACCATGAAAATGAGGTCAAGGTCACATGACACCTACCAGTTGGACATGTACACCTTACAGTCCTTCCATATACCGAATATACTTGACCTATTGCTTATAGTATCTGAGATATAGAATTGACCACCAAAACTTAACCTTTTTCACTGATCCATGAAATGAGGTCGAGGTCAAGTGAAAACTGTCTGACGGACATGAGGACCTTGCAAGGTACGCAAATACAAAACATAGTTATCATGTTACTCATAATAAGAGAGACATTGTCATTACAAAAAATATTAACTTTTTTTTCAAGTAGTCACTGAACCATGAAAATGAGGTAAAGGACAATGGACATGTGACAGACGGAAACTTCGTAACATGAGGCATCTATATACAAAGTTTGAAGCATCCAAGTCTTCCACCTTCTAAAATATAAAGCTTTTAAGAAGTTAGCTAACGGCCCCCTATGTCGAGCTTTCAGCGACAAAAGTCGCAGGCTCGACAAAAATCCAACTGGTTGTCTAAAAAGATAAGTCCTTCCTTACATATATGCTAGTTTTCGAGTCAAAAGATATTATTAGAATAAAATATTTGAGAAAAAGATTGAACAGAAACCATAAGAATATAAATCTTTCAAAATTTCTTTTTCGTGCATGAATTAAAATATTGTTTTGAACAGTCTTAAACAAACTTTTATTACTTTTTTCCTGTTATGTGAACATTTATTGGGGGCAGTTGTTATATATTAGCACTATAACAGGTAAAGCTTTGACAATCTTGTCACCTGTAATTAGATTCACCTGTAAGAATAAAACGTTTTGGTTCAAGATTTAGAAACAGAACGAAGAGGTTTTCTCCTGTTTCTTAGCCACGGGTGTCATTCGGTTTATCGAGAGAAATGATAGTGAAAGAATATTTTACGGTGGTCAAGTATTGCGAGACGATCGTGGAATCTATGGTACCGGATCGTGAATGTAATTAAATGTAAATTCTATTTCAGAATGTGTGAAAAAATCGCTGAATTTTCAAAATGCGGAACAAATCCGAACAAAAAAATATGTCTGTCAAAATGATTCAACTTCCTCAACATTACTGTGCAATAAGATAAAGAAAATATGCAGTACTTTATGAAAAAACACAAAAGGCACAATGCATGTCTATGGGATTAATTAAAAAAACACGTTTTTTGTACCTATAATGGTCATATTTCAATATATCATGATATTTTTGAAATTTAATCTTTGTTGTGTCCGAAAGTACAGTAAAATAAAAGTATGCTCTTCACTTAAAAATCGTTCATTTGTTAATGAAAACCTTGAATTTTGTTGATTTTTCATCAAACTTGATCGTGATAGATCAGGCAACGCATTATTTTGATCGTGAAAGATAATGCGTGACCAGACTTAATAATCAGAAATCAATATGTCTTTTACCATTTGATATACCTGCAACTGGTTGAAGCCAGTAACTTTTTTGATAAGAACGAACATGAAAGCTATCATTTGTTTTTTAAATTCAACACTTTACCTCTAAAGTTAAAAAAATTTAACTTAAAACGTGTCTAAATCAGTGTGAAAAATTCAGCTCTGAGAATCGGACTAGTACAAATCAGGCAGACCTCCATTATTTAGCCAATAATATGGGTATGCAACGTTCAAACCAAAAAGTTAATCATCAACCAAAAACTTATAGCAAAAACAGCATCTTTCATGAAAAATTTGAGATTGAACGATAACCAACATTTTGTTATATGTATCTTTGTATACAACGTAGCAGATGTGGATTGATATCCAATGAGACAACTATATATTACAGAATAAAGAATACCAGAGCGCAAATGCTGAAATGTCTCGTCTGCTTTACTTATGATAGTATATTTGTTGAACTTCTGTAATATTAAGGGTTTTACTAGAAGTGTCACATACTCTTAAAATTGTCAATGATTCATAAAAAGAGGTCAAGGTCAGATGAACCATGACATACAGATATCTACAAAAATCCCGTACACCAAATATAGGTGTTCCGATGCTTACAGTACCTTAGAAACTGACAAATGTAAAAGTTATGTTTGGCCAATTAATTCGGAACATGAGGTCGAAAGTATATGAACCCTGACCGACAGTCAGACACAGACATCTTACTTTCATTCAATATATCAAATACAATTGACGTCATATATGAAACATGCAGACAGACATGTACACCATACACCAAATACCGTGGCCCTATAGCATACAGGTATGCAAGCTTTATAAATATAATGGGCATAAAGATGAGAATTCAAAGTTATAAATACAAAATAAAACATCTTAATGTATAAAAAAACAATACTTATGAAGGACGGACAAATGGACTGGTATTGATACAATTTACCAAGTCTGTGTGGTATTATAAGATATTAGATCCAATGGCATTGCACGATTATAGCCCTATTCACCAGCAAAAGAGACCCGGGTCAGTCATGCCAATCTAGTTTTTTTTTAATACCAATAACAAATATTTATTATCATATAATTGAAGAATAATATGAACGTCTTCGTAGCATTAGATCTTTTACGATCCTTTTCACGATCTTCATAAACCAGTACGTGATCTTTCACGATCCGAAATATCAATTTTGTGTAAATATTTCTTTTTTTACCAAGTTTCAGATTATGTTTATACAAAATAACTATGAGAACCATTTGATGCATTCAAATAGAATGCCCTTTTTTTGAAGAAAAATAGTTTATTTTATTGGAATTTGTGAAAAAATCATGTTTGTTTACATTTTTGATGTCACTGAAATGTCGAGGAGCAATATGCCTTTTGTTGTTTTGTAAAAACTATGTACTTTTAGAACTGGATTTTCTCACATACTGATCATAATGTTCGACCATTTTGACAGACAGTTTTATTTTGTTGTAAATTTGTCCGTGTAATTAATTAAATTAGATTATTTAATGACTTTTCATATGTCTTCTCGATTAAATTTCTTTCACGATCCGGTACCAGAGCTTTCACGATCGTCTCGCAATACTTGACCTTCGTTAGATATTCTTTCACGATCATTTCTCTCGATAAACCGAATGACACCCGTGTTAGCGAGTACACACACATTTTGTATTCAGACAATGTACATTTATTGTTCATATCCTACAATTAATAACTGGCGCTTTAAGGTTCGTGGCATATAAACTCTTATGTATTTAATTATTTTGAAAACAAAATGAAAATTATGTCTAATGAATAACCATGATGAAATAATTGTTTTTTCCATAATTGAATCGTGCATTTGTGTATTGGATTACTTAGTTGCCTTCTTTCTAGTGCTATTTATTTTGTTTACTGACAAATGACGAAATAACGCAATAGTTAAAATTAAATATTTTACAAAACTTTGTCACGATTAAAAAATTAAAACCGACTGAATGAATTAAAATATGAGAATTCAATGATTATCGATGTCGAAATTAGCCGTCGGTAATAAACAGTCAGTTTGTGTAAAAGAAATAGCTACCAAATTTGTTTATTACGTATGTACAAAGTATATGTATATTGTATATAATCAGTCCTTCTGTATATTACTTGTTTTTATAATTGATTCAACAAATTTCGCTTGTCCAGGTGTCAATAACGGTGATGTTCACACCACGAGTAGTGATAAATGACACAATAACAGCGATCGATCAGTAAAAATTGCGTGCCGTATGCTGAATGTCGCCCCTCCTCTGAAAAGGACGCTAATTTTTATATAAAATCTCGCAAAATTATGACCCATATTTTGACACATCCCCGTTCACCCAATAATAGGAAGTGAATTCGTTACCATCATGGTTTCAAAGAGAAAGTAAAACGTTAAACGCCGGATTCAGTGTCGTCCAATTAAAACACTCGTTACATTGTTCTTTTGTATATTTAGAATCCGAGATAAACCTAGATTTTCTCGAGAAATGAGATAATTCATTATCTGAAATTGAGAAAATTAATTATCTGGAGAAAAATTAGGATTATCTGAAAATCGATCAGAAAAACCTAGATTTTCTTAATATTTTGAGATAAATCGAGATTTTCTCCAGAAAATGAATTTTCTGTATTTTCTGAGATAAACTAGGATTTTCTCGAATTTGAATTAAGCTGAGATAATCTTAGTTTATCTGAGATAAACCGGGATTATCTGAGATAATCCTAGTTTATCTGAGATAATCTAAGATTAATTAATAAAAGTGGTTCAGGCGTGCCATATATATATTACAAGTATCTCTAGTCACTTAATTGAAAGGAAGTTTCTTCTTATTTCAAAACAAGTTAGTACGAAAAGGGTATATAAATATTAATTGAGGCAGGAAATATACAATGATTATAGCCGGATCAAACTTCATACAATTAATTTATTTCAAGAAGAACAAAAGTATATTCTAGTGATGTCAGCCGTCAACGCACCCAAAGTTCGTATATATAGCTATCGTTTGATCATGGGTTGCTATTTTAGAAAACTAAACTTTTTGTCTTGTCTAGTGGTTCTTATGTTCCTGGAACTACATTACATTCATTACACTGCAAACATTCCATTGCTGAACTTTATATCATAGACATGATAAATCATTCGTCATTATTTTTTATTCATCCTTGTCAAAATTCAAGTCACCATTTTCAAATATGCTTTTGCCGGTTGCGTTATCCAATTTTTGTTTTCTTTTTCCTGAGAAACCTCTTAAAATGTCAGACTTTACAAGTCTCCAAAATAATATTAAGTTTATAACTAGTCCAGTTGTAATAGTCCACCAAAATGTTACAACATACGTTAAACTTACTCTATGAAAATCTAAATATAATCCTGAATAGACACGTAAAATAGGAATAAGGCGGAAAGTAACGAACGTAAAAATGTTAATAAAAGACACAAATCGGTAGAGTTTAGTGTCAAATCCGATATGGCACATCTGTAAGAGTTTTCTCATGTGAAGAAATATAGTGTTAATTTCTGCCATCAGTATTATGACATTATATCCTATGCAGCTTCTTATGTTAAAGTTGTATATAAATGAGGAAACTATCTGTAAAAAAAGGATAAAATTAAAATCATAACAATTTTGTTTCATCTTTATTTTCATCATAGAATAACTTGAACTGTGAGTTTTCAAACGTAATTTTTTTTAAGGGGGGGTAACATGTCCTTGTGTGAACTAAGACCAGAAAAGACTGGCCCTACCGCTGTGTTTTCGTTTTTCGCTATTACATTCTTTTTTAATTTTCATATTTCGTTAACTATGGAGCTTCTTTTATGGAAATGTGTCTTATTCGGACAACTTCATTTTTATACTTATTTATATCCATATCAATATGTAACCATAGTCCAAACCATTTAAATCGTGAGATTATTCTTAACATGCTGCTACCGTATACATAAACCATCATTAGTTATTTGTCTTTGCTAAACAAAATCTTGAGTGCAAAGTACTTCTACCGTTACCATATTTTCTTTAAATTTTAATAGTAAATGTCATCATCTTTGCGTATTTGATTTGCTCAAATACAATTCCTATCTACATGCGTAATCCACCATTTGTATCAAACATCAAAAGAGGTGAATCCTGTCTTGTGTGGTTTGTCAATACCTGTTCAATACTTAAAACACATTGAGATTCGACGTCTCTTAAGATTTGTTTGTGCCACTTTCATCGAACTTGGCTATACATCATGGCGGCCGTTTTTATTTTCTTTTTTTTTTTTGTATTAAAGTGAAGTCGTATTACCCGGAGATAGAACCAGCGAACTTAAAGCAGGAAAACTGGATCTACTTGGCAATAACGATCGAAGTCGAACACGGCTCGCCATGAGCGAGGTTCGAACGCCCACATCAGAGTTAATATGCAAGGGATCTCTCTAGATGTACTACTCTAACCACTCGGCCACATCATTTACTTTTTGTCTGTATGCATGGTGGATTATGCGTCTAGCAAAGTCACAATAACATTTTGCTATGGATAGATATTTCGTGAAAAATTAAAATAAAAGCTTACTACAAAAAAAGAACCGTGGATTTTTATTAGTATTGAAAAGTCTCAGAGTGTCTACGTAATGGAATGTTTTTTCCTCAAATGTTTGCTCTGTTTGAATGCAGTTGTATAATTAATTTGTGTTTTATTTTGTTTTAACCAATGTGTTTACATTATGTTTTACTTACAACAAAATGATGTAAAGTAACTTCCCAGTATGTTCCTAACTTCTTGTTCATCTTCATGTCTATGGTATCATATATGAAATATCCTGCAAATATATACATATTTATAATGTTAAGTGATTGTGAACATTGTGGGGTAAAGATTTTCATTCTGAGTTGTCAACTTATAGAATTAAACATTGCATTGTATTAAGGAAAGCCATTTTTGTTTAGGGCAATGTTTTGAATTGAGTTAGCTTCGTTTTTCTACACTTGTAGATAAAACAGATATATTCATACGCCATGATGTTCTGCAACTTACGTAATTTTCATTTGGTTGTCTTGACAAGTGATCACAAGTATTGTAATACACATACACATTATTGTAATACACATACACATTATTGTAATACACATACACATTATTGTAATACACATACACATTATTGTAATACACATACACATTATTTTATTTTGTAACTGAATAACTGAGTATATGTTGTGTACAAGTTGTAATTTCGTACAAATTATAATTTGTACAGGGTTTTTGTACAAGTTATCAGTATTTTGACACACACCTTCTATACAAGCCTATCTTCAATAATTATCCAGTTCGATGTTTTACTCACAAATTTATGTACTTCAACCTAACATTCATCCTATGTCCACAAAATATATTTTAGTGTTTTTATATAGACTTTGTGTCAGTACTATGTGCAAGACTGTAGAATGTAGTTGTGGAAATAAAACAGTGATAAGCTTAACCAAAGACACTGTGCTTATTTTATCTTATTATGTAAAGAGATTCACAAAATACTGATAACTTGCACAAAAATACTGTACAAATTATAATTTGTAATTCGTACAACATTACAATTTGTACACAACATATATATATTATTAACAAATTACTTGACGTGGGTATGAATAGGATCTTAAGATAGTTCACCTAAGTTGTGCCTACTCACAAAGGTAGAAAATCGGCCTGCAATATGGCTGAATGTAGTTATCAAGCCAGTGACAATACATTGATAGCACTATAACCCCCCCCCCCCCCCCAAAAAAAAAAAATAAAAATATTACGAATAGACGGAGGCCCTTAACGTCAATGTCATGTAACTCAACAATACACATAAACCAATAGACTGTAGAATATGTTAGGAGAGTATGTATTTATCAAGCACGATGTCGTAATTTTTAATATGCAACGTATTTAATATATACGTTTCAATACAAATATGTTTAAGCAACATTAATATGAACTTTTGCAGTCAGAAATAAGTGAAAAACAGGGTATTAATTCCACCAAAAAATATCCTATTTGGCACAATTTTATGCCAAGGAAAGAGGAAGTGTCAATTTTCCATCAATTTATTTCCCACTATAGGGCCAATTTCAAAACTTTCTTCTATCTTCAATAAAATTTACAGATTCATAATATAAGATAAGGAGTTGTGGTATGATTACCAATGAGACAACTATGCAACAAAGTCCACATAAGTTAACATTGATTTATGCATTTAAAGGTCAACATACGGCTTTCAAGAATGAGCAAAACCCATACCGTTTAGTCGGCTATAAAAGGCACCGTCTTGAAAAAAAAAATATCATAAATACCTAAAGATGGCTATAAAAAAATCAATGAGACGAACATTCTCAACCAAAACCAAAGTTCTGTTAGAAGGAAAGCTATGTTAGGTCTTTCAGATACTGGTAAAGGCTGTCTTTTATACAAATGTTTGGAAAACATGTACAATTTGCAATATTTTATCAAAATTGTCTTCAACAGAAATGTATATCACTGAATAACATTTCATTCTATGAACATATGGGAAAATGATGCAAAATAGTATATATTTTTTTTATTATTCTATATTCATATTCCGTTTTATATTTTATAATTTTTTTTTCATTTGAACCCATGAGTAAAACAAATCTGGAAGAAATATTTCTATGTAGCATTACATATTAGTGCTTGAAACAATATCTGCATATTTGATATTCGAAATCAAAGCAAGGAAAAGGAATCAGTAGAATGATTGTCGTAGTGAATTTTTATTTTTAATACATGTAATAGTTAATACCAGTGCATTAAGCATGTTAAGATTAGACTAAAAAGTCGGTGGTCAGACTACTGAAATTGACAAGCCAAAAATAAACTTAGCCCCGCCACTTTTTGAAGGAATTGGGGTAATTTCTCTCCCTCAGGGTGTAGCCTTGGTCCAAAGAAACGCAAAAATAGAGTCGTCTTCAATATGAATAATTTTATTATTTGTTTTAAATAGATTCAGATATTATCTAAATCTTATATGCATTATGTCAAAAGAACACTGTTATGCTTACATATCAAGTTACTACATGATGTAAATCTGTGTTGTTTTATGTCTCACTGAAATATTGAATTGAATTGTATATGTAAAGTATTTAATCCTTATTCAAACTTTAATTATTATGACATATACAAAGGAGGGTTGAGACTTGGTGGGTCAATAAATCATATGTAAATGACAATAAATAAACATGAAGTTAAGTAAAAATAACAATATTTATGATTCATTTATATTCTATTGGATTACAAGTCATAATTGATGTCTTGTAAAATTAAGAATATAGCCGTAATACATAGGAAGAAACAAGCTTGTACAAGCTATTATATTACCAGCGACTCTTTTCACAAAAAATCTTACGACTAAAATTGATCGTAAGTTATACTGAAATGTGTATGACTTACGAGTATTATTACTCTTAAGATTTTTTGTGAAAAGAGTCGCTGAAACGTACAATACGTGTATTATATGTCTTGATTTTACTAAACGTGATAAAAGATGGAAAATGAACCATCAAAAATTTGAAACTAAAAGATTAAGAAAAAAAAGTAACTAAATTACATAATAGAAAAGACTCATTGTAACGGTAACGAAAAATAAGCTCAATCGAAATCCCACAAAGGAAAACAAAAAGTAAATATCCTTCATAGATCCGGAACACTTTTTAAATGTATAATAAGATCAAGATAGGTACTTTGAGGTTTTATCTTTATGTTTAGAAGTTTTTTGTGCCTCGTGTTGATAAAATGAGTCAAGCCATTTCCAACCTATTTTTACAGTTAGTTCTTATGTTGTGCTGGTACACTACTGTCTCAGGTAAGAGGAGGATTGACCGCTGAAGCGGCTTACACACATGGTTAACCCTGCCACATGCCTGTCCCAGGCCAGGAGCCTGTAATGGAATGATTTCCATCGTTGGTTGATGCAAATGTCTGTCATATTTGTTTTTCATTTATTTTTTTTGTTATAAACCAGCCCGTTATTTTTCTCGTTCGAATTGTTACACATTTTGTCATGTCGGGGCCTTTTAAAGCTTACTATGCGGTATGGGTTTTGCTCCTTGTTGAAGGCTTACGGTGACCTATAGTTTCTTACATTTTTGGTGGAAAGTTGTCTCATTTGCAAATATACTACCTCTCCTTTAGTTTATATCAAAATTATTATAACTGTTACATGTATAGTCATAGATAGACATAAAGTGAAAGATGAGCTCATATTTAAAAAGAACAATTACACATACACACAGCAAAAAAAAATAATGACATTGCCACTAAAACATTGTTATATTATAAGCAAATATAATTTTGAGTTTAATTACCTGCAGAAAAGGGCACCATTAGATACATGAAGTTGTTTATATAAGCCACTGGATCTCGTACTAAATCTGGGTATAAAACTAAGCTAGAACACAAAAAAAGTTAAGTACAAATCATTAAGTACAAAATTTGTAAGTTATATTTATCAACGTTTGGTCCACTGGACGTTATGCTACCAACAATCAATCAATCAACGTTTGGTTGATTGACCATGCTGAATTAATGATTCCGCCAAATCTTTAAACCTTATAAACTAAAATGTTCAATGTTATTCAAATGTTTATTATTTTACGTTGATTTCATCTGTTTGTTCTATTTCCAAGGAAAGTTATTAAAGTTTCATAATTATTGTAACGGTTCTCCCATTTAAAAATGCAATAATTAACTCACTTATTGCCAATGATTAAAAGGGTAAAAGCTATCTTTTTTTTATAACAGATTGACACCAGATAATGCAACATACCTGGGGATCGACGATCTGATGTAAACAACACATTTGAAACCATTTTTAAAAAATGCATTTTTAGCACAAAAAAATATAACAAGTTGTAATGAATGTGTTTAAATTTTCGACAAGAAATAAAAACTCGATTTTTTTGTTTCGTTGGAGTCTTTTTGTGCAACAGTGTTGTTGTGTTGCTGTCTTATTGGCGTATACACAAACTCCTCATGCTATTCATCAATAAAGATAATAAGAAATATTTATGGCTATATATCTTGGCTATAAGTATATTAATGGTAAAGTATTTTGTCTCTTTACCATATTTATATAAACATTAACGGAGTTTTATTATCTTACAATTTATTCATGTAACTATTTTCTCATTGTAAAAAGTAACTCTAAATGGTCATAAACTAAGTTATATAAAACAAATTAAAAAAAAGCATGACAGGTATACTAACCATAAAAAAACCCACGTTCCGCATATAACTCCATGTATCCATGATATCGTGATATTTCTCCACTTCCAGAATTCTACCTCTGGAGCAACACATTTAGGTTTCCCGAGTCTATCTAAAATTTCTCCCAACATATAAAACATAACAGTAGTCATTGCACACATAACATACGCTTGCCATACATGTACAGATTCAATGCCATCACCGGTCAGTTCTGTAGTTTCCATGCTCATGTAACTTTATACTCTGACAATGTTGGCTTGAATATTAACTCGAATTATTGTGATAGGAGATCCGTTCTGCAACGACAAGCATAAATTCAATCAATATTTCTAATGAATTTTAATAATAAAACTTAAATTAGGTAAAGAAAGACGGATCATTAAGATCAATAGGACAAAAAGTCAGCGTATTAATAAGGAAGTTCGAGAAATGGCACGAGAATTTACCGTGGCACAAATGATAAGGTGTTATATTTAAACATCGCTATAATAAATGTTGCTTACCCGACAAATTTTGACCAAATGTCTTGTGCTGCACACAAAGTTGAGATTTATTAATCCATGTTCTCTTATTTATGTTTAGTGCTGACAGTGTGCGTTTTGTTTTCATTTACACAACAAATCACAACAAGTCAATCAATGTGTACACAATACCGGAATAACCGTATTTTAATACACATAAAAGTCAACAATAAGAATTTACTTCAGGACACGATTATCACGACGCTGAGGGTCATTTAACATGTTAAGGTTTTTGTCTTTAAAAAAACTACGACGAGCAATGAGGGACATATGTGTATACACATTATTTGCCCATGTACATGATAGGTAAACGTTCATGCTTGAACATGTTAAAATGTACAAAGAAAAAATCCTGCATGATTAGTCAATAGACATATTAGATTAGTTTTTAAATGTGCAGATTAAGAAAGTGTTGGATGAAGGCCGCCCTGGCCCCGTTGTATTGCGAAGCAGTTTACGAAACACGTAAATTCTCTTGTAGGGATTATGCTTTAAAATATTAAACAAGAAAACCAGCCATGAAGGCGTATGCTGATCTATGCTGTTCTCATATCGCAATTGATTTACATGGAAGCTATCCAGATGGCTTTTCACAAAGCAAAGTTTCAATTGATTTCGAAATTGTGAAGGAGTGATGCATCTTGATATTTTAAAATGAGAAATTGTCTTTTTAAGCGCACTGATGTTCTCGTTGCCTTATTTATAACTTATTTTTTTAATTCATCTATTTATTTTTGGAGTAGGGACGTTAGTAGAAAATAAAAGGATATGGAGTAAATGTACATGGGACAAAATCGCACACAACATATAGAAAACAGAGAAAATTATCAATGAACAGGGCTTTTATTCCTGTTCTTCATCTTGACAGTTGATGTAGGGTCTTCAACAATGAACGAATCATTCATACCCTACAACAAGGTCAAGACGGCCCCTAGCGTCGACTTAAGCGGTACTGTTGATAAAAATAAACCACAGTTCACCTTCTTGCTCCCCACCCGCCTCGGAGTGCCAACTTGTGCGATGCTTGTGTGCAATGGTTCTCCAGTCGAAAGCGCCAGGGATACAAGAAAAGTGCAGTAATTTTGAAAGACATCGATCGCCGCTAAAATATGCCTTGAAGTTACACATGTCGGGAGCGGTCAATGAATTACATAATTTATAATTACGGGCGAGGTTTTTCAACATATATTTGTCATACATTGCCCAACAAAAGACCAATAATTTCGAAACAACAAATGATAGACAATACATATAAAACTAAAAACACAAACGATAGACAGCACGGGGTACATCGAAATATATGTAAGAAAACCTAGCAGTTTAAAATAGTATGAAAGGGCAATATACAAAACAGATGACCAGACTAGTATTTTGAAGAAATTTAACCAAACATGAAATTTTAACGGTGTATTAATATGAGAAATTCTCACATGAACAAGCACACCATAACTGTAAATATTATAAGAGCATACTCCTCAAGCACGGGGAAACGTTCTACTGCCTCCACACAGCACTAGAGACAAGCTCTAGAATCAATAGAAAATAAAAGGATATGGAGTAAATGTACATGGGACAAAATCGCACACAAAACATAGAAAACACAGAAAATTATCAATGAACAGGGCTTTTATTCCTGTTCTTCATCTTGACAGTTGATGTAGGGTCTTCAACAATGAACGAATTATTCATACCCTACAACAAGGTCAAGACGGCCCCTAGCGTCGACTTAAGCGGTACTGTTGATAAAAATAAACCACAGTTCACCTTCTTGCTCCCCACCCGCCTCGGAGTGCCAACTTGTGCGATGCTTGTGTGCGATGGTTCTCCAGTCGAAAGCACCAGGGATACAAGAAAAGTGCAGTAATTTTGAAAGACATCGATCGCCGCTAAAATATGCCTTGAAGTTACACATGTCGGGAGCGATCAATGAATTACATAATTTATAATTACGGGTGAGGTTTTTCAACATAATTTTGTCATACATTGCCCAACAAATGTAAGTGGTCATTTTCTTATATATAATAAAATCAGAAAACTGACACATCTCACATTACAGTTTCTACGGTTTGTATTAACACGGTGCGGGCGCGTTGGCAAAAAAAAGATGTATGAAGATTATGCTGTACATATAGTCAGCTCATCATGCTCATGTGATAATAGCGAAATATTTCCCTTGTCTGATTATATTCTCTAACCAACTAGACGACAATCTTTTCTAAAGCTAATATTTTAATTGTAATTTGCGTAAAAGGAGATGTGCGGATACGAAACAGCAAACCAGCGACAAGAAAAAAAACATTTAGTCACTTAGAGAATGCCGCTCTGTTTGGCTCCACAAATTTATTCAGATGTTAGTGGATAACACATACGTCGATCACACGTAGCTGGAACTATACGAGCCTAATCTCTGGATGGAGGTCAGACAATAGTAGTAAATAAGTATACAATGACCAGCGCTTGACATTGGTACAGAGGGGTAAAAGAGAGCGCCGAAAGATACCAAAGGGACATTCAAACTCATAAGTAGCTTCCTTATGAGCAGCAACCCTCTATCATGGAAATCATGATAGGGTTAAGTATAAGCCCTGGAATATCGGATCAACTGGGAGATATGTACTCCGTATTCAGGCGCTGCTGGAATGTTGCTACATAGAAATGGAAAGTTCACAGTTGAGATGATGTTATCATCTATTTTGTCGTAAAGTTTTGTTTTAAACCGACCCTCATGAATAAAGCACACACACTTTTTCGCTGACACGCAAACTGACCACTTCTCAGAATCAAATGGTCGGCTCGTTTTGGTATGATACACTTACTCCTTCTATCTTAAAGAGCAGTTGAAATGAAGTCTAGAACGTTGATTCGAATGAAATATGAATATAATAGCTTAACAATCAGGGACAGATCCAGGGTCCTAGGAAAAGGGGTATAAATGTCCAAAAAAGTAAAACAAAAATCGGCAGCGCATAGCGAGGCGAACTTTTCTTTTGATGATTTACAGCCAAAGAAATGTTTTTTTACGTTCAATGTGAGATCTACGCCTCCCTGAATCTGCCACTGCAATACTTCTATCTTATACCTTTGTCAATTTGGTGAGCGTAGCTTAGGTTTTTGTTTTTACTTTTTTGGTATGTTTGTGGGGGATGAATATTGTTTACGGACTATATATTGACTTGATATGCCAGGATCTCCGCACGTTATAAGCTCTTCAGGACGACATTTCATCTCTAAATGACGTTTCATTTACACAAAAAAAGTAGTCTCTGTCTGTCAGTATCAAATAGAGATTGAAATTTTATCAAAGATATGAACTTTAACCAACACAAAACACCCATAGTGATCCCAAGAGCTCCAGATTTGTAATTCGAAAAACATCATAATCTTAGAAACATCAAATCGTCATACTTTATCTTAAGACTATTGGCAAAATCACCAAAATGTGCAAGCTTGTTTATTTTGTCATTTATATTAATTTCGTTTCTAATACTGTCAGTAATATAACACGACCCCAACCAATAGTTGATCTTTTAGGACGAAATTTCCCGTACTCATTGCTGTCGTCTTTGAGTTGAGTGCTTGTAACCTAAATCATTTTGCCGGACAAATTGTACATTGCCTGTTTAACAAGTGTATATTGTACTATTCTCATTTTTTTTCCATTTCGAACAGCTTCTGTAGGAAGTTATAAAACACCTAGCTTGTTTCCTTTCAGTAATATTCTTCGGTCATTATTTCGATTTAGTTTCGATTTTTTTATTTCTGATTTTTATTTCTTTATTTTTTTTACCGTCTGCACCTTTTCACACTGACATGCAAGTTCGTAATGAAATTCTCTCTTTTTCAGCTCGCATATGAAGAAGGCTTATGCTTACGACAAGGAACTATCTATGATTTTGAATAGTTTCAAATTGAGGCATCCTGTTTGGAAGTATCATTTTGCATTTCTTATTAGGAAATACAATTTATCTTATTCATATGTTTAAAAAATATAGTGTTTCTTTCGGCATTTGCTAACTTGTTGACTACATTTCCTAACAATAAACAACCCTTAATCTGTTTGTTCACTCGTTACTTGGTATAAAGGCTGATATATCTGCCCATTAAAGTCTCAATCGTACACCACTTTAATTTTTTATTCGTTATACATATGTATTTCTTTTTAAAAATATAAATGTTAACCGAATGGCTTCGCAGTTCAATTTTAATATTTTCTCATTTACTTCGGTCAAATTAATACTAGTCGAAACGAGTTGATTCGATTATGGTCATGTTAACCTCCGTTCCAATTTTCAGGGTGCATGTGTTCCATCTGGTAGCTATATTCGTGCCTACTACAGAATCGCCGATGAAGTCGCAGTGAGTATTGATTATGTCAACGGCATTAGTGATATTCGACATTTTTGCTCCGTACTCTTTTCTGTTATCAATTTCTCGAGCTTAATTAGAAAAAAAGAAAGAAGCAAATTGTGTCTTGTTAGTCAAAGCAATTTTAACTTTGACCTTCGTCAAGTCAGTAAAATTCCAACTTGAAGGCTAATCATATCCTGTCATCCGAACATTGGCAAAGCTCCTAAATATCCTAAACATGTCTTGGAAGTTGTTATTACCATTCGAGAAGGTAATGGACACGAATCTACATTGTACTTCATTTTCTTGCTGTTTTACTTTTCAGATATAAGAATACTATAAGTGATGGTATCAATCTGTAACAATCAATACAAGTACATCCTGTTTTTGTCCAACCTCAAAAGTCTTTAAAACTTTGTCAGGCAAGTTCATAATGAGTATAAGTAAGAGATGAAAAGATACATAGACAGACATTATGAACCGAAACACGAAGCATCTTCCCTTTCCGGTATGGAACCTGGTATAATCCTTTAATTTCTTATCGGTAATAGAATTCTTTGGTCACACGACATGATATGCATTAATGATTATACCATTACGGAGTTTACAGACCGAGAAATCAGCTCATGTAGGACCTAAAGGTCAACATTTTTTTGTTTCCTTTCGATAATTTTACATCCGGACGGGGATGGAAAATAACTTTATCGAACCTAACCTAAATGCAGCGGCGTGGGAATATGTTTTTGGTTCATGTTAAAAATGAAACGAACAGCATCTAGTGTATGGTCATAAAGTATATATAGTTAACCAACTGTTAGCAGAGCAGCCGATTAAAGCACTATTATGATAAGCGAGCTAGGAAAACGTAGTGTTTTTCACGATTTCATGCACAATGTTGGTAAAAACACCGAATACTCTTTTAAAGTCTACAGGAATAACTTGA